AAATACAGGATGAATTGAAATATTAGGTGGCGGAATAATTGCACCTGAAGTTTTAAAAAATTGTAATAAAAGTAAAAACTTAAAAGTTATTGCTTTTGGTGTTGGTATAGAAAGAATTACAATGTTAAAATATGGAATTTCAGATATTAGAGATTTTTATAAAAACAAACTAGAAAGAAAATAAAAAAATGATTTTTAATAAAAAAACTATAGAAAAATTTATAGATATAAAAGATATTAAATTAGAACAAATAATTGAAACTTTAACAAGTTTTGGTTTTTCTACTGAAATTTTAAAAGATTATAGAAATTTAAACAAAGGTATAGTTGTAGCAAAAGTTTTATCTAAAGTAAAAGATTTAAATTATGAAAATATTAATGTTTGTAAAGTAACAGATGGAACAAAAGAATATACAATTATTTGTGGTGCAAAAAATTTTAATGTAAATGATTTAGTTGTTCTTTCAAAAGTTGGTGCAATTTTAAATAATGATTTTAAAATTGGTAAAAGAAAATTTGGAAATTATATTTCTGAAGGGATGTTATGTTCATATAAAGAGTTAGGAATACCATTAAAAGATGATGAAGATGGAATTGTTATTTTAAATAAAAATGCTAAACTAGGTGATTTAAATCCAGTAAAATATTTTGAATTTGATGATGTTTTATTAGAAACAGAACCATTACCATCATATCCAATTAGTAAAACAATTTTTGGTTTAATTAAGTTTTTAAGTGGAAAATTTAATTTAAATATTAAAAACACAAATGAAAATAATTATATAAAAGCAAATTTTATTATTGATTTTATAAATAAAGAAAATACAGCAATTCAAGCTTTTTATTTTAAAAACAATTTTAAAAATAAAAAAATAAACTGATTAGATAATTTTTCACAAATTATTGGTTTTCAAAATGAAAATATTATAGATAAAATGATAAATTTTATAAATATTTTTTATGATGTTAATTTAAAAAAAATATATTTAAAAAATAAACCTGAAAAAATTAGTTTAAATGATATTAAAAATTTGAAAAAAGATGAAAAATTATTAGAAAAAGATAAAAAATTTATTTTAATAGTTTTAGAAAATGTTTTTAATAAAAATAATTATCCAACTTCAAACATTTTAAATATTGCAATTAAACATTTAATAAATATTATTTCAAATGAATATAAAGAATTAAAAATTTTTGCTGATTTAGAAAAAATTAATTTTAAAAAACCAGAAGTTTTTGAAATTAAAATATCAGAAATTGAATCATTAATAGGTAAAAATTTTAAAATAAGTGAAATAAAAACAATATTAACTCCATTTGAATTTATTGTTGAAAAAATAAACAAAGAAACTGTAAAAATTACTTGTCCTACTTGAAATGAATATAAAAATAAAGCATATGTTATTGAAGAAATATTTCGTTTTTATGAATGCAAAAATGTAGAAATTAAAAAAATTAATTTAATTCCTGAATTAAATTTTAAAAATAAAATTTTTAAATATAAAAATAAAATAGAAAACTATTTATTAAACATAGGTATTAATCAAGTAAAAACATTTTCTTTAGTTGAAAAAGATGATTTTATTTTATCTTTACCATTAATTTTAGAAGAAGATAGAAAAACAAAATTATTAAGAACAAATTTAATATCAAGTCTTATTAAATTAGATTTAAATAAAAATATTTTTACAATTGATAAAGTATTTTTAAAAGAAAATAATGAAATAAAAGAAAAAATTAAAATAGCAATTTTATTAAATAAAGATTTATATTTTGATGTTATTTCAAAAAGCCAAGTTAAAAATAATAAATTTTATTTAATACAAATATTAAAAAATATTTTTGATTTATTAAATATTTCAAAATCTAATTTATGAAAAGATTATTCAAAAGATAAAAAATTATTTTTAGATAAAAAAGTTGAAAATACAACTTTTTCTAAAAAAGGTTATGAAAAAATTTATTGAGGTAATCAATTTTTAGGTATTATTGGTGAAACAAATATTAAAAAAGGATCATTTTTTAATCATTTATTTTATTTAGAAATAGATTTTGATTTATTAATAGAATTTATTAATAAATCAAAAGAAATTAAATTTATTAATAAAATAGATGAAAAATTAATTTATAGAGATTATTCAATTTTATTTGAAGAAAAATTTGAATCTAAAATTTCAGTAAAATTAAAAACTGATGAAATTATAGAAATTAATCATTATAATCATTGAATGAATTTAATAAAAAGTTTAGATTCAAGAATTAAAAATGTAGATTTAATTGATATTTATAAAAATAAAACACTTACTTTTAGAATTTGAATAAAAAATGAATCTATTAAAGATGAAATTTTTGAAAATATAAATAATAAAATAAATTCTTTTAAAAATATAAAAATTAAAAAATAATTAAAATCATTTTATTTTTTAATTGTTATTAAAATATAATTAAAAAGAATATATTTTAAAAATATATTTTTTTATTTTATTTTTAAATATATTTTTTTTATAATTTTTTAAAATATTATGAAATATTTTTTTAATTTTTTTAAAAAAATTAATAAATTTTTTTTAAATCATTGATTTTTAATAATTATTATTTGTATATTAATTGTAACTAGTTCATTTTTTATTAAACTTTTAATTGATATTTCAAAATCACATCATAAAAAATTAAAAAATAAAGATGAAAAAAATGTAGATCAAAATAAAATTGAAATAGATAAAGAATTAGAAAAAATACAAGCAAAAACTAAACAGGATACATATAAACTTAAATTAAAAAATAATTTTAATTCTTTTTTAACACAAGAAAATATTCCAAATATTTTTACTTCTGAAAATTTAGAAATTTTTAAAGAATATAAGTTGGATTATAATTTTATTTTTAAAACAGAAGATATAAATAAAAAAATATATAAAAATAAATTTATTGATTGAAAAAACAAATATAAAAATAAGATACAAGAATTTACAGAAATATATAAAAACTTTGATATTAATTTATTTAGAAATAATTTTAAAAAAGATTATAAATTAACAAATAATTTAGAAATAGATGTTTCAAATATGTCATTAGAAATAATTTTATCTGCAACGATTTTTGCTTTTTTATATGGAATACCAATTCCTATGTTTTTATAAGATTTTAGTTATATAATTTTTATTGATGGTATATTTAGTTTCAAAAAATAAAAAAATAAATTTAATGAAAAAGTTAAAAATCATAACTCTTTTTGTATTTTTTTCATTATCTATATTTGCAAATACTAAAATATTAAAAGAAATATATTTATTAAATAATAAAAATAAAGACAAAGCAAATTCAGTTTTTTCTAATTTTGATGCTTTAAATAATAAAGGGTTTGAAAGTATTAAAAAAGTTGTTTATAGTAGAGTTTTATCTGAATCTGAACAAAAACAACAAATTAATAATATTTTATTAAATTTAGAAAAAGAAATTTGTAAAAAATGAAATAAAAAAAATAATGAATTAAAAATAAAACATCAAAAAGAATTAGATTTATATAAAGAAAAATTATTAATAATAGAAAAAAAATGAAATAAAAAAGAAAAAGAATTAAAGGATAAAACAGAAAATTTAGATATTTTTAAAAATCAAAAAGAATTTGAATTTTCTTTTTTTGAAATTGAAAAAAATTTTAATTTATGAAAAAAATCAAAAAAAAATTTACAAATAATATTAAATAATAATGCTGAAATTTTAAAGTTAAAATCCGAACTTGAAACAACTCCATCATGAACAAAACTTAAAGATGATTTAAAGAACAAAATTTTTAAAACATTAAGTATGTCTGTAGATCTAAATACTGATTATGCCATTGATATAACTTTAAATATTGCATCTTTAATTCCAGGTGTTAATGTTGCAGCCGGAATATCACAAATGACTATTTCATTTTATAAAGTGGGTAAACATAATCAAGAAGATGTTCCAGCAATACAAAAATTAATTTCTAATTTTGTAGATGATTTAAAAAAAATTTGAGAAAAACATCAAAAAGAAGAATTAATAAAAAAATTAGAAGAAGAAAATAAAAAACTTAAAACAGATACCAAACATTTTAAACAAAATATTTTAAAAGAATTATATAAAATTTCTCAAAACATTATTTTTTTAAATAATAAAAAAATAAAAAAAAGAGTAATAAATCTAAAATTAAAAAATATGTTTTTTAATAATTCAATTATCAAAATTAAAAAAATTATAAAATTTTTAAATTTAACAAAAGATGAAATCTTTAAATTTAACAAAATATTTTTATTAACAAAAACAGTTAAATATTCTGATATTTTAGAATTTACAAAAATATTTTTAAAAGATCATAAATTAAATGTAGTAAATTATTTATTTTTAACATCAACAAATTCAAATATTGATATTGATGAAAAAGTAAAAATTTGTAATAAAGCAATTGAATTTTTAACAAAACAACTAAAATATGAAAATAATATTAGAAAAGCAGAAATTGAAAAAGAAATAAATGCTTTTAAATTAACAAAACAAATTTTAAGATTATTAAAACAGGAAATAGAGTTAAATAAGAAATTAGAAGATTATAAAAAAGAAAAACAAAAAAAAGAGTTAGAGTTAAAAATATTAAATGAAGAAATAAATAAAAAAACAAAAGTAAAAGAAATACTTGAAAAACAAATTGATGATTTAACAAAAGAAATTGAAAAATTAAATTTAGAAAAACAAGAATTAGAAAATTCTATTCAAGAATTAAAAGATGAATTAAAAAAAGAAAAAGAAAATCTTAAAATTTTAAATGATGAATTTGATACTTTAACAGAACAAAAAGATAATTTAGATGAAGAAATTAATGAAAAAAAATTGAAAAAGAAGATTTATTAAATGAAATCTCTCAAAAACAAACTCTTGATGGTGTTTTAGCAAGAAATATAATTTCTCAACAAGATCACATTAAAGAAAATGAAAATATTATTAAAGAAAAACAAACAGAAATTTCTTGTTTAAATAACCAAAAAGAACAAACAGAATCTGAAATTTCAAATTTAGAAACACAAAAACAAGAATTAATTACACAAAAACAAAAATTACAAACAGAAATTAACACAAAAAACACTCAAATCTCTCAAAAACAAACAGAAATTTATACATTAAACAATCAAATTTCAGATTTAAACACTCAAATCTCATATTTAAATGTAAGAAAACAACAATTAGAAACTCAAATTACAAATTTAGAATCTCAAATTTTAGAATTAGAATCAGAAATTAATTATTTAAAATCTCAAATTCAATTAGAAGAACAAAACCTTAAAATTGTAAATGATGAATTTAATGATTTAGTAGAACAAAAATATAATTTAGATGAAGAAATTATTGAAAAAAAACTTGAAAAAGAAACTTTATTAAATGAAATTTCACAAAAACAAACTCTTGATGGTGAATTAGCAAGAAATATAATTTTTCAAAATAATGAAATTAAAGAAAATGAAAATGTTATTAAAGAAAAGGAATTAGAAATTTCTAATTTAAATAATCAAAAAAAACAAAAAGAATCTGAAATTTCAAATTTAGAAACACAAAAACAAGAATTAATTTCACAAAAACAAACATTACAAAATGAAATTAACACAAAAAATACATTAATATCTCAAAAAGAATCTGAAATTAATACATTAAACACTCAAATTTTAAATCTAAACTCTCAAATTACAGATTTAGACAATCAAAAAAAACAAAAAGAATTAGAACTTTTAAATCTAAACTCTCAAATTACAGATTTAAACTCTGAACTTTCAGACTTAAATACTCAAAAAACTAATTTAAACTCTGAACTTTCAGACTTAAATACTCAAAAAACTAATTTAAACTCTGAACTTTCAGACTTAAACACTCAAAAGAATAATTTAAATTTTCAAATTTCAAGTTTACAAAAACTAAAAACAGATTTAAATACTTTAAAAACAAACTTTTTAAATTCATTAAATGAATTTAAAGAAGAATTAAATTCTGATTTAACAACACAAGAAAACTTAGAATCTCAAATTTTAGAATTAGAACAAAAACAAACAAAATCTAATAATGATCTTTCTTTGTTAGAAACACAAAGACAAAATTTAGAGAACTTAAAATCTCAAATTAATTTAGATGAAGTAAATATTAGAAATAAAGAAAATGAAATAAGAGATGTTGAAATTGAAATTGAAAAGATTGATTTACAAATTGAGTTAAAAACAGCAGAATTAAATAGAATTAATAATTTAATTGTAGAAAAAACAACTTTATTAAATGACTTAAACACTCAAATCTCTCAAAAAGAAACTGAAATTACAAACTTAGAAAATGAAATTAACACAAAAAACACTCAAATCTCTCAAAAAGAAACAGAAATTAATACATTAAACACTCAAATCTCAGATTTAAATACTGAAATTAACTTAAAAACTGAAACTATTAATAATAAAGAAAAATTAATTACACAAAAAGAATCTGAAATTTCAAACTTACAAACAGAAATTAACACAAAAAACACATTAATCTTACAAAAAGAAACTATAATTCAAAGATTAAACTCTGAAATCAATTCAAAAATTGAAACAATTAAACAAATTTCAGATAACATTAAAGAAATAGTAGAACAAAATACAAAAAAACAAACACAAATTTTAAATTTAAATAATAATATTAAAGATTTAGAACAATCTTTATCTCAAAAAAACATAGATTTTAACAATATAAAACAAGAATTAGATCAAATGAAAGTTCAAAAACAAGAATTGTCAGTTCAATTAGAACAAAAACAAACAGAAATTAACACAAAAGAAGCATTAATTTCTGATTTAAGAACTCAAATACAAGAAAAAGAAAACAGATTAAATGAAGTTAATGGTTTATTACAAACTAAAAATGAAGAGTTACAAACTTTAAATACACAAAAACAAACATTACAAACAAAAATTAACACAAAAAACACATTAATCTCTCAAAAAGAAACTGAAATTTCAAACTTACAAACAAAAATTAACACAAAAAACACATTAATATCTCAAAAAGAAACTGAAATTACAAATCTAAATTCTGATATTAACTCAAAAATTGAAACAATTAAACAAATTTCAGATGATATTAAAGAATTAGAAACACAAAATACAATAAAACAAACTGAAATTTCAAGTTTAAATGATAATATTGAAGATTTAGAACAATCTTTATCTCAAAAAAACACAGATTTTAATAATATAAAAGAAGAATTAGATGAAATGAAAGTTCAAAAACAAGAATTATCAGTTCAATTAGAACAAAAACAACAAGAAATTAATTTAAAAGAAATAGTTATTTCTTATTTAATAAATCAAATAAGACAAAAAACAATTAGATTAAATGAAGTTAATAAAGAATTAAGAGAAAAAAATATAATGTTACGTTATTTAATTGTTTTAAAAAACAACAAAATAAAAGAAATTTCAAACTTAAACACATTAATCTCTCAAAAAGAAACTGAAATTTCAGACCTAAATACTCAAATTTCACAAAAACAATCAGAAATTGATAGATTAAACAATAAAACAAGAAAATTACAAGATGAATTTCAAAAAGTAGAAGAATTAAATGTAATATTAAAAAGATACAAAGATGCAGTTATTGCGTCTTGAAACACACCAACACAAGAATTTTGAAAAAAAATTCCAAATTCAGGGAGTTTTAATATTCGAACTTGTGTTGTTGATGAATATGGAAATTTTTATAGTTCTAAACCAAATGGAAAAAATGAATCAGACGTTGGTGGATGACGTTATGAAAAATATCAATCATTTTCACGTTTTTTGTTTAAGTTTGTTTTAGAAACTGATTCTTCTTTTTATAAAGAAAGATATTCAATTGACAACAATGATAATTTTTTCTCATTAAGAAATCGAATACGTCATACTGTTTCAAATTATGAGTCTAAAATTGAAGATTTTGAAAATAATTTTTGAAATGCATCAAATTTTAAGAAAGTAAAAGAATTATTTTGAGAACTTTTTTCAAGTTATGGTGTAAGAGTTAAAATACATAAAAATTTAAATAATAATTCAATTCTTTTCAGATTTTATTACAGATAATTTTAATTAAATTAATTGTTTGTCATTTTTATCAATCATTATTCTGTTGTTATATGTGATGTTGAAACTTTAAATATATATGAAAATTTTTTTTAAAAAATAATGAAAAATATAAAATGGATTTATATGAAAATTTTTAATAAAATAAAAAACATAAATACAAACTTTTTATTTTAATTTCAACTTTAATAATTGGTTTTGGTATTTTTTTTACAATATATGAATTTCCAAAAGAATCAAAAACATCAAATCCAATAATAATTAAACCTAGAATTTTATCAACAGAAAAATATTTAACAAAAAAAGAAAAAGAATTTATTTTAAATGAATTTAAAAAAGTAGAACATAAAAAATATGAATATGATATGGTTTTTGTTGTTAACAAAGACTTTTCTTTAAAAAAAATATATGAAAAAACAGACAAACACCCAACACAAGTTTTATCTAATATTTATGAAAAAATAGAAAAACTTGAAAACGAAAACAGAGAAAAAGTTTTATTAATTCATAATCATCCTCCTTCTAATTTTGATTTAGTTCCTAGCATTGCAGATATGAGAATTGCAGAAAAACATGAAAAAATATTACAAAAAAAATGACCTGATATTAATGTTTTAAGTATTGTTGTTTGTGTTGAAGAAAAAAATGAAAAGAGAAATTTTAGAAGAGTATTGTATGATGAATTATGAGAAGAATGAGTAAAAAAATCTAGAATAAATCCAAAACATAATATTAAACAATGATTATAGAAATTTATAATTTTTTAAATAAAAAAAATATTAATTAAAAAAAGAAACTGAAATTATAAATCCAAATTCTGATATTAATTCTAAAACTGAAACAATTAAACAAATTTTAGATAATATTAAAGAATTAGAAACAGAAAATAAAGAAAAACAAGAACAAATTTTAAGTTTAAATAATAATATTGAAGAATTAGAACAATCTTTATCTCAAAAAACATAGATTTTAACAATATAAAACAAGAATTAGATCAAATGAAAGTTCAAAAACAAGAATTGTCAGTTCAATTAGAACAAAAACAACAAGAAATTAATTTAAAAGAAATAGTTATTTCTTATTTAATAAATCAAATAAAGGAAAAAACAAATAGATTAAATGAAGTTAATACAGAATTGAGAGAAAAAAATATGATGTTAGCTTATTTAAATTATTTGTATAATAAAAAATTAAAAGAAATTTCAGACTTAAACACTCAAATTTCTCAAAAACAAACAGAAATTGATACATTAAACACTTAAATCTCTCAAAAAGAAACTCAAATTTCAAACTTAAATTCTGAAATTGGAAAATTACAAGATGAATTTAAAAAAGTAGAAGAATTAAACGAAATATTATTAAGACACAAAAACGCAGTTATTAAATCTTGAAATATACCAACAAAAGAGTTTTGAAAAATAATAGATGGATATTCAGATTCAGAAAGTTTTAGATATTCAAATTTTTGAATATCTCGGAGTGGATTATTTTATAACTCTCATTCTTCTGCTTTTGAAGAATCTGAACCATTTGAAAACTTTTTATATGAATATATATTAGTTGATGAAGGAAATTGAAATAAATTTTTATCATTAAAACAAGTATTAAAATATGTAAATTCAGATTATGAAATTAAAATAAATGAATTTATAAATGATTTTAGAAATGCATCAAATTTTAAAAAAGTAAAAGAATTATTTTGAAAACTTTTTGCTGGTTATGGTGTAAGAGTTAAAAACATTGCTTGAAAAGAAAAAGGTTATTTGTTTTATGGTTTAAGAAAAAATAGATGAGATAGAAATTATTGAGAACCTAATTGTTACAGAACTTGTTAAAATGTTAAATATATATGAAAATTTTTATAAAATAAAAAAATATAAAATGGATTTATATGAAAATTTTTAATAAAATAAAAAAACATAAATACAAACTTTTTATTTTAATTTCAATTCTAATAATTGGTTTTGGTCTTTTTTTTCAATATATGAACCACCAAAACCACCAAAACCACCAATTAAACCTAGAATTTTATCAACAGAAAAAATTTTAACACAAAAAGAAAAAGAATTTATATTAAATGAATTTAAAAAATTAGAACATAAAAAATATGAATATTATATGGTTTTTGTTGTTAATAAAGATTTTTCTTTAAAAAAAATAATTTGTAGAACAGACAAACACCCAACACGAGTATATGCCTCTAATATTAATGAAATAATAGAAAAACTTGAAAATGAAAACAAAGAAAAAGTTTTATTAATTCACAACCACCTTGATGATGATTCTATTTTTGATTTATTCCCAAGCGAAGCAGATTTAAGAATTTCAAAAAAATATGAAAAAATATTACAAAAAAAATGACCTGATATTAATGTTTTAAGTATTGTTGCTTGTGTTGAAGAAAAAAATGAAAAGAGAAATTTTAGAAGAGTGATTTACGATGAATTATATAAAGAATGATTTGCAAAAAATGGACATAAAGAAATTCCAAACAATTATATTAAAGAATGATTATAAAAAATTATATTTTTTTATAAAATATTTTAAATTATTCAATATTTTTGTTGTTAATAATTAATACAACACATTATATTAAATGTATAAAAAAAAGAAAAAAACTATAATAATTTATAGAAGAATAGAAAAATTTTTAAATTAATTTATAAATAATAAATTTTTGTTTTTTAAAATAGAATTCTAAACCTTATTTTTTTATAAGATTTTAGTTATATAATTTTTTTGATGATATATATTTTATTGTAAAATATAAAAAAATAATTTTAATGAAAAAGTTAAAAATAAAAAAATTATTTTGTATTTTTTCTTTTTCTTTATTATTTAAAAATAATATATTAAAAGAAATATATTTTTTCAATAAAAAAAAATAAAAAAATAAAAGTTCATTTTTTTCTAATTTTAATATTATGAATAATACAAGTTTTGAGGATATTAAAAATATTACTTATAATGAAAATTTATCTGAATCTGAAAAAATACAAAAAATTAATGATATTTTATTCAATTTAATAAAAGAAATTAATAAAAAATGTAATAAAAAAATTAATGAAATAGAAATAAAATATCAAAAACAATTAGATTTATATAAAAAAAAGTTATTAATAATAGAAAATAAATGAAATAAAAAAGAAAAAGATTTAAAAAATCAAAAAGACAATTTAAAGATTTTACAAAATCAAAATGAATTTAAATTTTATTTTTTGGAAATTGAAAAAAATTTTAATTTATGAAAACAATCAATAGAAAATTGTAAAACAATATCTGATAATAAATCTGAAATTTCAAAATTAAAAGATTCACTTAGAGAAAAAACTTCATCATTAGAGTTAATTATTGAACAATTTAATAAAAAAGTTTTGGATATAACAAGCTTGTTTGGAAATAAACAAATTGATCATCATATTGATACAAGTTTAAGTGTTTTATCTTTGAACCCGATTCCTAAAGTTGCTTCAGTATTTGCAGTAACACAATTTATTCTTACAATTGCCAAAATAATTAAACACAACACATTTGATGTATTAAAAACAAAAAAAGAAATTTCTAATTTTGTTGACTATGTAAAAAAGGTTTGAGAAAAAAAATATAAAACAGAATTATTAACAAAAATTATAGAAGATAACAAAAAACTTACAACAAATAAAGAATATTTTAAACAAAATATTTTACAAGGACTATATAAAATTTCTAAAAATATTATTTTTTTAAATAAAAAAAAAATAAAACAAAGAATAATAAATCAAAAATTTAAAAATATGTTTTTTGATAATTCAATGATAAAAATTAAAGAAATTATAAAATCTTTAAATTTAAAAAAAGAAGAGATTTTTAAATTAAACAAAATATTTTTATTAACAAAAACAGTTACACATTCAGAAATTTTAAAGTTTACAAAAATATTTTTAAAAGATCATGATTTAAATATAGTTAACTATATGTTTTTAACATCAACAAATTCAAATATTGATATTGATGAAAAAATAAAAATTTGTGGTGAAGCAATTGAATTTTTGAAAAATCAATTAAAATTTGAAAATAGTTTTAAAACACAAATTGAAAAAGAAATAAATGCTTTTATATTAAATAAAGAAATATTAAAATTATTAAAAAAAGAAATAGAATTAAATAAAGAATCAGAAAAATATAAAAAACAATACTCAAAACAAAAAGAAAAATTACAAAAGCTAAATAAAGAATTATTAACAAAACAAAAAAAACTAGAAAAAATTGAAAAACAAATTTCTGATTTAGACAAATTAAATTTAGAAAAACAAGATTTAAAAAATTCAATTGATGATTTAAAATCTCAATTAGAAGAAAAAACACAAAAAATCTTTATTTTAAATTATGAATTTAATAATTTAAAAGAAAGAAAAGATGTTTTAGATAAAAAAATCATTGAAAAACAAATTCAAAAAGAAAATTTATTGAATGAAATTTCAAAAAAAGAAATTTTTGATTGTAAATTAGCAAGAAATATAATTTCTAAAAATAATCAAATTAAAGAAAATAAAAATATTATTAAAGAAAATTTAATAAAAATTTCTAATTTAATTAATAAAAAATCACAAATAAAAACAGAAATTTCAAATTTAGAATCTGACATTAAGAGAAAAAATACATTAATTTTAAAAAAAGATTTTCAAATTTCAAACTTACAAAATGAAATTACATTAAAAACTGAACAAATTAAAGAAATTTCATATAATATTAAAGAATTAAAAGAACAAAATTTACAAAAACAAGAACAAATTTTAAATTTAAATAATAATATTAAAGAATTAGAAGAAGTTTTATCTAAAAAAAACATAGATTTTAATAATATAAAACAATATTTAGAAACAAATAAAGTTAAAAAACAAAAATTATCAGATCAATTAATAAAAAAACAAAATGAAATTGATAAAAATGAAAAATTAATTTCTAATTTAAAAACTCAAATACAAGAAAAAGAAAATAAATTAAAAGAAGTTAATTCTTTATTAGAAATTAAAAATGAAGAATTAGAAATTTTAAGAATAAAAAAAGAAATATTAGATTTTGAAATTTCAGATTTAAATGCTCAAATTTCTCAAAAAGCAAGTGAAATTTCAAACTTAGATTCTAAAATTTTACAAACAAAAAATCAAATATCTAAATTAAATGAAAAAATAAAACAATTGAAAACAAAATTATTAAAAAAAGAAAAATGAACTCAAATATTATCTAGATATAAAAGACAAGTTATTAAATCTTGAAATAAACCAACACAAATTTTTTGAGAAAAAATTAAATCAAAACCAGAAAATGAAATATTTAATTATAATAAAGTTTTTATAGATAAATATGGAAATTTTAATGAGTATTCTTCAATTTCATGTATTAATTCTGTAACTCATAATGAAATTGAATGATTTGGTTGATTTTTAAGAGAATATGTATTATTTGATGAAGCAAGATTCAATAAGTTTTTGTCATTAAAACAAACATTAAAATATGTAGATACTTTGTTTGAAAATAAAATAACACATTATTTAACAAGCTTTAAAAATGCAAAAAATTATAAACAAGTTCAAGATTTGTTTTGAGAACTTTTTGTTTTTTATGGTGTAAGGGTTAAAAACATTGCTTATAATCATAGGGGAACATTATTTTATTTATGAAAAAAAAATAAACAACATATGGGTCCAATAATAGAAGAAGAAAACAAAATAAAAATAAAAAAAGAAAAAGTAAATACAATAAGTTTATTGAAAAGATAGATTAAAGTATAAGAATAAAAAACATAAAAAAATTTTTTAGAATAAGTATTTTAATTGTAAAAAAAATAAAAATAAAATATAATTTTTTTAAAAAATATTATGAAATGATATTGATAATTTAAAATTTTAAAATAATTTTAAAAAATTTATTATAAAATATTAATTTTTATATATACAAAAAATAATTTTACTTTATATATTGTTAAATATTTTTGTTGTATAATATATATTAAAATAAAATATTATGGCAGTTCCAAAACATCGAACATCGAAACAAAAAAAACGTTCTAGAAGATCACATGATTTTTTAAGAGAAACAAGTTTAGTAAATTGTACTAATTGTGCAATTAAAAAGAAAATGCATATTGTATGTAAAAAATGCGGTTTCTTTAAAGGTGAATCAATAATTAAAGTAAAAACAAAAAATAAATAGATGTTTAAAAAACACATTTCTGTACTTTTAAAAGAAGTTATTGAAAATATAATTTCTTGTAAAAAAGCAATTTATGTTGATTGTACATTAGGACAAGGAGGACATGCTTTTTCTATTTTAAAAAATTCAAAAGATGGTTCTTTTTTATATGGATTTGATCAAGATGAAGAAAGTATAGAAATATCAAATAAGAATTTTAAAAATCAATTTAAAAATAAAAATTATGAGTTTATAAAAACTAATTTTTTAAATATAAAAGAAGTATTAAATTCAAAAAACATTTATAAAGTAGATAGAATTTTTTATGATTTAGGATTTGTTGCTCATCAAATGTATTCTAAAAATAGAGGTTTTAGTTATAAAAATAGTAATAAATTAGATATGAGAATGGATCAAAACCAATTTTTAACTGCTGAAAAAATAATTAATGAATATTCTAAAGAAGAATTAAATAAAATTTTTAAAGAATATGGTGAACAAGAATTTTCTAATAAAATTGTAACAAATATTATTAAAAAAAGAAATGAAAAACCAATAAAAACAACTGAAGAATTAATAAATATTTTAAAATTATCTTTACCAAAAAAAGTTTTATTAAAAAAACATCCAGGAAGAAAAATTTTTCAAGCACTAAGAATTGCAGTAAATAATGAATTTGTTGTTTTAGAAGAATCTTTAAAAAAATCAATTGATTTATTAAATATTGGTGGGAAAATATTAGTAATTTCATATCATTCAATAGAAGATAGAATTGTTAAAAATGTGTTTAATTCTTCTAAAAATATTAAAATAATAACAAAGAAACCAATTATTCCAACAAAAATAGAAATTTTAAATAATAGACAAGCTAGAAGTGCAAAATTAAGAATTGTAGAAAAAATATAAATTATGAAAAACAATTTTTCTAATAAAGAAATTTATTCAGTAGTTGATTTTAGAAAAAACTATGTAAGTTTAATAGTTTGTGTTTATGAATTTTCACAATTTTATATTTTATTTAATAAAAAAAAACACCTTGAAAATGAAGAGGATAATATTTTTTTAAATCAAAAAAAAGCAATTAAGTTTTTAAAAGAATTAATTTATGAAGTTGAAAATGAATTAAGTTTTAAAATTCAAAAAATTTATTACAATATTGATATTTATGATTTAGTTATAAAAAAGAAAGAATTTTATTATAATTTTAGAGAACCAAAAAAAATAACTTTAAAAGAATTTGAAATTTTAAATGATAATTTTAAAAAAAGTATATTAAATATAGAAAAAAAAGAAATTGTTTTTTCTAAAATAAATAAATATTATTTAATAGATTCAAATGAATCTTATGATTATTTTCCAATCGGTAAAACAGTTAGTTCTTTAAAATTTGATGCTTTTATTTATTATGAAAATTGAGAAAATTTATTTTTTTATGAAAATATTTTTAAAAATTTTAAATTACAAGTTTTACCACCATTATTATTACCATATGCAATTTATATTAGTTTATTGTTTTCACAAAAAGAAAAAGATGTTGTTATTTTAAATTGAAAAGAAAAAGAAATACAAGTTTTTAATTTTGAAAATAAAGTATTTACAAAATTTTTTACTATTAAAGAAGGCATAGATGAGTTTTTAAAAATTTTTTGTAAAAAAACAGGATATGAATTTAAGATAATAAAAAAATATTTATATAATGTAATAAATTTGGATCCAAAAAGGGAAAAAGTTTTTGATATTTATTATGAAGCACATGATGAAAAAGCAAAAAAAATGAGTGATTTTTTAAAAGAAGCTTTTATTAATTATTTTCAATCAGTATTTAGTAAAATTAATTCAAAGTTATATGATGAAAAGAAGAATAATAGTGTTTGATTTTTAATTAATGATATTACAAATATTAGTGGTATTTTTGAAATGCTTGAAGCAACTTTTGAAAACATTAAATTTAAAAAACATAACCCATTATTTGTTGGTATAAAAAATTATAATGATTCTTTTTTAATTGGTAATGCTTATTACCATCATTTAAAGAACAAAATTATATATAATTAATTTAATAATTTAATTATGGATACAAGTAGATATTATATTCCAAAAATAACTGTTTTAGGTGTAGGTGGTGCTGGTTGTAATGCAGTAAATCATATTATGGATTTTGAGTTAGAAAGTGTTAACTTTATTGCAGCAAATACAGATTCACAAGCTCTTTTAAATAGTAGTGCAGAAGAAAAAATATTTTTAGGTCCAAAGACATTAAAAGGTTTAGGTGCCGGTTCAGATATGATTGCTGGTAAAAAAGCAGCAGAAGAATCAATTTCAGATATTAAAAAACATCTTGAAGGTACAGATCTTTTATTTTTAATTTGTGGTTTAGGTGGTGGTACAGGTACAGGAGCAACTCCAGTAATTGCAAGAATTGCAAAAGAAATTGGTATTTTAGTTGTTTGTATAGTTACAAAACCATTTACTTTTGAAGGTAGTTTAAGAACTGCAAATGCAAATAAAGGTATTGAAGAAATAAAAAAAGAAACAGATTCATTAATAATTTATTCAAATGATAAATTATTAGAAGAACTTGGAGAAATACCATTAAATAAAGCATTTAATGTTGCAAATGAAAATATTAAAAATGTTGTAGATACTTTTACTGATATTATTATTTCACCAGCAAATATTAATTTAGATTTTGCAGATGTTAAAAGATTATTAAAAGATGCAAAAAATACATTTTTTGGTTATGGAATAGCTGAAGGTAATGGTAAAGCAATTGCTGCTGCAAGACTTGCAACAAGTTGCAAATTTTTAGAGGCATCTATTAAAGGATCAAAAAAAGCAATTATATTTGTTTTAACAGGAGATAAAACAAATTTAATTGATATAAATAGAGCTATGGATTTTATAAAAGAAAAATCTGGTGGTGATGTTGATTTAATGTTTGGTCAAAAAATGAATAAAGAATTAAAAGAAAAAATGATCATTTCTTTAATTGCAATTGATTTTGATGAAAATGAAATAAAATATGCTAATTTAGAAAATATTTCAAAAAAAACTAAAATAAAAGAATTAGAAAAAGAAAAAAATAATATTTTTAATAATGAAGATGATTTATATAAAAAAGAAAATGAAAATATTTCTAAATTAGATAAAGATGATGGAAATGATGATAATGAAGATGACATTCCGCCATTTATGTAAAGATTATGTTTAATTTTTTTAAAAAGAAAGAAGAAAAAAAAGATTTTCAAAAAAATAGAACAGGTATAACTTCAATTAGAGAAGTTTTTCCTGAATCTTATATGGATACAAAACAAATTGCAGAAATTTTATTAAAAGAAAAAAAAATTTGTGTTTTTCTTGATAATTTAGAACAAAAAGAAAGAAGAAGAATTATTGATTTTTTAAGTGGGATTTTATTTGTTTATAATGGTAAAATTAAAAAAATTAAAAAACATGGTTATTGTTTTTCAATATCTTAAAAAAATATATGTATAAAAAAACTTTAAATATTTTTGAATCTAAATTTAAATTG